CCACCCGAGATCCTTCAACCCGGCCTGGGAGGTCTCGACCATCCTAATTGGCCTGCTCTCCTTCATGACCTCGGAGGAGATGACCACGGGCTCGGTGTCGGCCACAGCACAGGAACGCAAGGCGTTTGCTGCGAGATCGAGGTGGTGGAACTCGACGGGCGGTGGATCGCACTCCAGGAACCCAGCACAGAAAGGCAACGTTAAGGCCGGTGACGGAGGCGCTAAGTTCCGGTCGGAATGGCCCGAGGTAGACAAGGAGAATTGGCGGTGGATGACGGAGGACAACATCGACCTGAGCACGGGCGTTAGGATCGGGGCATCGTGCGGGTCGCAGCTAGGCATTGCCGGCGGTAGTGGTGGACAGACCCAGGCTGTGGTGGATGCCCTCGTCCAGCGTAGGGATGCCGGCAGGGGATGGCTAGGCCAAAACAAGCTGCTGCTGTTTGGGGGCCTCATATTCGTCTATGTGTTGATTGCCCGTCTCCTAGGGGAGGGAGAGGGCACTTCCTAGATTACCAAGGTGTAGTTCTTATTCCCTCCCTCCCCCTCAACTAGGGGTCTGAGGCCTGATCCCCACCCCACCTTGAACAGCCCCCTTTCAAGCTGCGCATTGCCATGCCCTTGGTTTTCCACTTCGATGGGAAACTGCGGGATCATCCTCTAATGTGGTATAGACTGATGTATGGTAGAGGTTTTCCGGGGTATAATTTCTCTTGCAGCAGACACAACTGATGGCAGATATCAGGGGCAAAGCAAAAGGCTGCTTTATGACTTTTAGATGTTTCCCTGTACGATATATTAGCTGCTCTGTACTGCCCATAATGAATTTCAGCGATTGTATTAGGTAGCGACAATAACGGGAACTGTCCATGATGTACAACTGGGAATGGGAATGAGTTCTTTTGCATTTGGTGTAGCAGTCTCCTTTCACCATGTCTCCTGCCGGTGGGTGTTGTCTGTGATTGCTAGCCCCTTTGGCACTCCAGGAACTGACAGACAACTAGGTTAGCAATAAACTTGATATATAACATCTCAGCTTACCACCTCTTTCATTCTCTTGGTCATATTTATTAGGGGTGTCATGAGACTTGTAAGTGAAAGCAGATGAACAGGATACTGAGACCGCTAAGGAGGAAGAACCGAGACACACTCAATGCTGCTCTAGTCATTGGCAACACTTGAGAGGGATTTCACCTTACGGAACTACATAGATCGACCAGGGGCTTTCAGGGGAATCAAGTCAACTGCGGGTGCTATCACTGAAGGCAACAACCTTGGTTGGTTATGTACTTACAGGTACCGACTTAGGTTACCTAGGAGCCTACCTAGGTACCTAATAGGGTGATAACCCGCTGAACTTGCCGTCGCTACTGCCTATTGATCTAGTAAGCATTCCTTATCATGGACTCTCTGCTGTCCCAAGTAGCAAATCTCGCTGTTAGATTACATGTAGTTCCCAAGTACCTACGTGTTGATATGGTAGGATATCGTCATTGTTGCCCTCGACAGCAGCAACGGCGTTCACCCTAACATCCTCAAACTGATTGTCCCTGCCCTACTCACCCACCACTCCCTCTACAACTTTCCTCTGATTTGCAAATAATCCGAACCTCAAATCTTTCACCCTCCCTCCCTTCAACTTACAACAATCTGGGCAACTCTCACTCAAGATCTCGGGTACGACACTATATCGGTTTCCTTCCGTATTCTAGGTTGAAACCGCTTCAAGGTCTCCTGCATCCTCTCTCACCACCCAAGGTTGTTTCTTCTCACTTGCCACAGCACAGATAGATATCTACGAGGATTTGCACATCATTCTGGAGCCTGTCACATCCGTTCTCTTCCGCTGGTCATTTCGTTCCAACACTCCGGTCTCGACCTTCCTCCCTCGAGACCTTCTTAGGGTTTCTGCCTCATCTGAATTTCACCGTGGCATCCATACCTGACACTTACCATCTGTCACTTCGGTCTTCTGACTTGGGCATTCCACCCTTTGATAATCACCCTGTTTCGTGTCTATCTACCAGTAACATTCTACCAATAACACTCTAGCACTCTTGATCTCAAGATCAGAGATGGCTTCTTCTGCCACTGTCGACATTCCCGAGACCGGTGCCCTCCCCTCTAATGAGGTGCTCGACGCGCCCGAAGCGCCTAAGGTGCCTAGTTTGCCAGCCTCGCCTACTCGCGGACTTACTCCAATCAATGAGCAAGATACGGATTCCGAGTCCATCGCCTCCAAGGCTTCTGTCAAGACACACTATGTCATTTTTCATATTGACAGCGACATTATCATCCCTGTGAAGACACCCGACGGCCCCATTAAGCTTCAGGTTTCATCATGCTCCCTTGCTGTCGCGTCTCCTGTTTGGCGCACCCAACTGTACGGCAAGGATGCCAAAAATCGCCCTGCCCACGGTGAATGGGTCCTCAACGTCGAGGGCAATGCAGATGCCCTGGAGACCATTCTACGTATTGTGCACTACGAGTTCAAAAAGGTCCCTGTTCAGCCTGACCTTGATGAGCTATTCGAGATTGCCCTCATCACCTCCAAGTACAGATGCACCCATCTCATCTACCCTTGGGCAAACGATTGGGCGAAGTATCTGTCTATTTATATTGGCCATGACTATTGTCCGGCCGAATGCCACAAGTTAATCTGGTGTGCATGGGTCCTTGGCGATGTCCGTCTGTTCCGCAAGATGGCCGACGCTCTTATCCTGAGCAGCAAGACTGATGCCCGAGGCGAGCTTGTCAACGTCTCTGGCAAACTGGTGAAGGAAATGGTTCTTCCTCCTGGTCTATTTGGTAGGTAACCACATTCGACTCATATGAATTCACTGCTGACTTCTTCCTTCGCTATGATTGCCACTGCACGCACTTCGACGATTTCCAAGATGCTCGAGTCAGTCCGTACTCCTTTGATGCTCCTGGCGTCTCCTGACAGGGACTCCAACACTCATTTCTGTCGGCTGGGCCGAGATACCCGGCAATGTGAGGCCATGATGCTGGGTTCTGCCATTCCTGCCATGGTGGCTGCGGGTCTGTTTCCTGTTCCCACGGCTGCCAAGTACCACGGCAGCATTTCAGAGTTGAAGGTTAAGCTTGAGGGGATCAAAACAATTCCTTACCGCGGCCCCAATCACCTGCCTCATCAATCACACACCAACTGTAATCTACGATTTCCACAGTTAGTGGATGAGTGCCTCAAAGAGATGCCAGTTCCTCTGAGAAATGATTACATGAAGCATCTGTCAGAGCAGGCTGAGATCTCGGGTGTGGCCATTGGACAAGAGCTGGAGGAATACCGACGACTGACGTCGAAGAAAGCTTCACCATCACCGACTGCTTCTATCAACTCGGAAAGCGCTAATGCTAGTGCCTGGACAGAGAGTGTCGGGACTGAGAGTGTCGAGGCCGAGAGTGCCAATGCGGAGAGCACCAAGGATGAGAATGAAGAAGTTGGAGATGAGAGCAGAAGCCTTGGGGAGGACCAGTTGTCGGATGCTCAGGAGTCCGCTGCAGGGTCGGAGCATGGTGGGAGTAACGCAACTTTGAAGGAGGCAAGTCCCCTGAAGGAGGAGAAGAGCGCTGAGAATGCTGAGAATGCTGAGGAAGCTGAAAATGCTGAGGACGCTGAAAATGCTGAGGACGCTGAGGACGCTGAGGATGCTGAGGATGCTGAGGATGCTAGGGAGGCTTAGATGATGGACGCTAAGACCTGCTTGTGTGAATTGTTGCATACGATTCTTTGGCGTATGCATGACAATTTGCATGGCAACAAGTGAAGTGATAGGGCATGAGTACAGGAATGATATCAAGAGAGCTGCAGGAGGAGCGCCGAGCTCGAGTGATATCCAAAGCCGCAAAGATAACCAAGGAAAGGAGCATGAATGAACACCCCAACACTGCGTACATAGCGGGTGCAATTTCAGTAACAGCAGTGCGGAACATGAGCACTGAGTACGAGCACACGAGAGAGTACAGGCATATGGAGATGTCTAGATTGAGCCTCTCATCAATGTCATGCTGTCATGCAGCATGTCTGACTTCCCCAGGGACGTTGCTTTTCTCCCCTCTCAGTTGATAGTAATGAACTATGTGCGCACAAAACGGACCGTGGTTTCTGTCTTGGAGACCCCAATTGCCAGAATTTATGCCAGTGAATGTCCCATAGAAGCCCAACTTCCAAATTTCTACGCTGAAGTCTTATTGATACTAGGGTCCTTGAGAATCAAGATCATGTCTACTTTGTTGTTGTAGTTTACAGCTAGGTAAGTTTTTGACGAGGATGTCTGTTAGCATGACTGTCTGTCCATGGACTCACAATACCACCAAGTCTGATAGTATAGGTTACCCTCACCATATGCCCTTCTTCGGCTGGGATCAGACACGGTTGGTTGGTTGCTTGTTGCTAGGAATCCGAACTGCAGCTGTCCCTGGTTGAACAAGACGTAGACTTTCACGTGATGAGGGACAGGTCCCTGAGATAGGATGCATTGACAAGAGTACCTGTCAGAACACATTGGCCGACTGGCATATCGGCCACCGCGATATACTTGCCTCTTGGGGCTTATCAAAGCGTTCTGTTATAGTTGGAGACCTTTTACTTAAGTTATGGCTTGGGTTCTTAGAGTTGTCCGCTGGGGGGCGGGTGAAGTGTGGTCATGTAGATATTATGTGTTTGATACTCACCAAACAATGAAGCCTGCATCGACAAAACTGAAAGTTAAGTAATGGGTGGTCTCGGGGATTTTGTGTGATATCAAGCAATGATGCTCTGCGCACGAACGTATGCTTAGGCGCCGCAGTATTCTGGGAACAAGAAAAGGGGTCACCCTGTTCTACTATATACAGAGAAGTTTTTCGGTTGAAGGCTACACTCCATACAAAGGTTCACAAGCAGTTGAAAGGATTAAAAAGGTAAGAAGAAAAGGCGATAAAAAAAAATAGAATGTTATGATTGCATATCCCAGTGAACTGGGAAGCGTTAGGAATTGAGCCCAACGCGGGGGTCGAACCTTCGCAGAGGTGTTAGTATATACGGAATATGCATTGCATGTTAGACGCAGTCTTAACTTACCCGCAACCTTGAGATTAAGAGTCTCACGCTCTACCGATTGAGCTAGCCAGGCATATTTCATGGCAATAACCGGGCAAGCCGGGTGAATGAATGTTGAGAAGCAGGGCTCGTATTGCAACATAAGTAGCAGAATTTTCATCGATGTGCGTAATGACAACTGATTCAAGACCCCGGGCTGATGTTGATGTAGGGTTGGGACCTGTAGAGCTGCGGGTCTGTCCACCTAATCGGGTACCGGACGACGGAAACTAAGAGGGCTAAAAGTGCTTATTAGTGAAACTAAAATTTTCATAGACTATAGGCTGGATTAGTGTATAGATCTTTGAACATCAATCAGGGCCTCTAGCTAGTCCACTGTGTTATGTTACTTTTATATGCCCACACAAGCAAATCGAGTAGTTATTAACCTATAAGATTTACTACTTTTAGCATGAAGCAAAACATAATGAGACAGAGACTCAATGTTCTGATAATAGAGTATCAGCCGGGCTTCATTTTGTTTAAGCTGGTACAGTGTGGGGAAGAACGCTCGAGAACTGGTTATCCTTAGAAAGCCCATTATCACATTTGAGAGAGCTTGGGATTTTCGAATGCGAGTCGAGTAAATACAGGAACGGTATGCAACCATTAAGTGTATTTCCGGCAGTCTTATTCTCCCTGCCCAACCAGACTTACCCTACAGAAGCCAAGATCCAAACCTCGATCGGCTAAATTAGCGAGGAAACGTCTACACTTCTCCGACAGGAAAAAGATTTGGAGATCTGCAACGTGCCCCTGAGTAGACAATATGGAGAGTAATATGAAGAGGTTTATTTCCATTTCATCTGGATCTAGGGTCCTGCGTAGATCCGGAGCCTAATTAGCGGGAACACGCGGCAAGGTGTCATTGTAAGAAGTTATATCGGTGTATAAGGGAATGGCCATTCGCGTAGGAAATCCTGTAGCTAGTCTCTTCCTCTCGAGACATCTGAAGAACTTAGTGAGTCGAAGGTCATAAACTACTATATCGCTAAGACTAGCATTCCTGTCATCATGTTAAGCCGCGTACTGAACATCGTTACCGTCGGCCTCCTGGCTGCCACAGCCTGGTCGGCAGTCTCCCCGGACGGGAGCTGTGGTATAGAGGGAGGAGGTGCCGACAATGGCTACACATGCCCTGAAGAGATAGCCTGTTGCTCCCAGAACGGCTACTGCGGTTCGACCGACGAATTCTGCCTCACCTCCATGGGTTGTCAGGGCGACTTCTCCAACGCGACCGCAGCTTGCACTGAACCGGTGGATGGCACGACCATCTCGCCCGACGGCACTTGCGGATCGGAGGGAGCTGGGGTATATGGCTACAAGTGTCCCGCTGAGGGCGAGGGGACTTGCTGCTCGATTGCGTAAGTTACCGACACTGGTCGTTCAATGAAGTAGTTTCAAAGTTCGGGAACTGACGCGACATAGTGGCTATTGCGGGAACACGGAAGCTCATTGCGCTACTGCGAATGGCTGTCAAGCTACTTACGGAGAATGCACTGATTGATCAGTGACCTTATTGACTTGACCTAGCTTGACGATACGAGAGGCAAGTCAGGTGTATACAATGCGTGTTTAGTATAAGAACCTCCTCAATGGTACAAAAGTGGTTGGCGATGTGGTCAAGACAAAGGTCATCTCGGGCACTTCTTGGATTTGTCGGTCTCTATATCTAATGTTCATATAATGTCGATGATAGATAAGCAAAATTTGAAAGTTTGAAGTCTTAACCTCAAGAAACCACGGGAACTAGAGATGAAAAATAACTGAAAAAGTCATGTATAATGCATGGGAAGAGTGTACTCTACGCTGGCAGGGCTGGTTGATCTAGTCGGGATTTGCTCATTTATATGCTTGGATATTTAGGGGGTGTGCTGACTGGCGTGAGAATATTTGCGTAACTTCAACACAGGCATATTATATGCCAAAAATAAGCATAATCTGGTTTATAACAAGGACGGATTCATTATAATGGAAGATGGTGTGTATCAATAGTAGTCCGAGACTACTTGAGAGATGGTTCTTGGCTTCTAGACAGCCGGCCGATCACGGCGTGAGTGGGGTCCGGGAGGACTTACTATGTTAGACTAGCATCGTAAACCTTAGACGTGCTTCTACTAATCGTCCCATAAACTCTCATAAAAGGCTGCTAAATGATTTACACTATAACATGGCGACCCTATTCCATAATGGACGATTCTTCCAGTCCGGGTCTAGAGGCGAGCATCAATCCTTTGCGGATTGCATGCTGGTAGATGGCGGCGGAAAAATCACCTACGTTGGTAGCTCTAGCGACAACCAGGTCAAGGAGGCCGAAGCTGCCGGAGTCACTAGACATGACATGAAGGAACGCATAGTATTGCCAGGATTCATTGATGGACATATGCACCTCTTGATGCTTGGACAGTCACTCCAAAAAGCCGGACTAGAAGCATGTAAAGACCTAGAAGATATTCGGAGGACGATTAAAGAGTATGCAGTCGCGCACCCTTCAGTCTCCCGGATAATGTGTAAGGGATGGATGCATTCCATGACGAACGGGGAGGCACTGGCTAGTATGATAGATGACCTAGACCCGAGGCCCATCTTCATCGACTCCAAGGACTTGCATTCAACATGGTGTAACACCGCCGCTCTGGACGAGATGGGAGTACAGGACATGCCCGATCCGGAAGGAGGGAAGATCCATCGTGATGAGAACGGCAAAGCATCGGGTCTCTTGTCTGAATCCGCTGCCGTTACAATTGTCTGGCCGTATGTTGCAAAGGTTGCACCGATGGAAGAGAAACTGGCAGCGATTAAGGGGGCGGTAGAGGCATATAATGCCTCTGGCTACACAGGACTAGTAGAAATGGCCATGGATGAGAACGCTTGGGAAGCTTTGCAGATACTACGCGAAAAGGAAGCCTTGCCTATCAGATTTGCGATCCACTGGCTTATTACCCCTCGCAAGACAGAGGCGGAAAACCTCGCCCAGATCGATCGCGCCATTGAGCTTAACCAGCAATTCAACTCGGAGAAGAGTCCCGATTGCCGTGTAGTGGGCATCAAGGTAATTGGCGATGGTATTATCGATGGTTGTACTGCCGCCCTTACTGAGCCCTATACTTCCAACGGACTATCCTGTGCCCCTATCTGGTCTCTCGAAGAGCTCGGCCCAGTCGTCAAGAAGGCTGACGCCGCAGGACTACAATGTGCTTTACACGCCATTGGCGACCAGACCATCAGAACCGCAATCGACGCGCTCGAGCAGAATGCTACGCCTGGCCGCCGTCACCGCATCGAGCATCTCGAGCTCGCGTCACCCGAAGACGCCGCTAGACTAGGAAAGCTAGGGATCACAGCGTCGATTCAGCCGGTCCACGCCGATCCTGCCATCCTTCGCGCCTGGCCATCGCTGCTTGGACCATCGCGCTGCGAGCGAGCCTTCGCCTATAAGGAATTTGCCGATGGCGGTGCCGTGCTCGCTATGGGTTCTGATGCTCCGACTGCACCACATGCGCCATTAAGAAACGCTTACACGGCGACGACGCGACGGTCCGCCAGGGAACCGGAGCTGACAGATCGTATGAATCCAAATTTCGCCCTTGAGCTGGCCGCTGCTATTGCGGCTGGTACGGAGGGTTCTGCATACAGTTGCTTTGCAGATCAGTGGGCGGGTAGGCTCGAGGCTGGGAGGATGGCAGATTTTGTTGTGGTTGATATGGAATGGGACGCTGAGAAGTTGCTAGAAGCGAGGGTCGTACAAACATGGTTCAAGGGGAAGAAAGTGTTTGACACTGAATCATAGCCTGTTCTTAATCTTGAATAAGCGAGGGGTATTCGCTTCCCCTAGTATATATCTTCAATTTACCTTTGATTTAGTCTATATGGGCAGTTCCCCGGTCACAGAATCAAGCTTACGTGATCGATCTACACCGATATATGTAGTAAGCTAGACCAAGTTTCCCTTGTGATGTTATATAAGGAAAGGGATCGAGTTGATAGTATAAGCAGGCTCGAAGGCAACCTTTGCCATCAATATATTCCCTTAATTGTCGTCTTCACTGGTAGGCGCCTCAGGCATGTACTATCACGAACTTCACTTTTCATCTGGGCCAGCATGAACTGGTATGCTGACATATTTGGAATCTAAAAGTAAAAGCCCAAACCAACATCTGGTAACGAGTGTAATTTTGGTTATAGGTCGTTATGCCGTGCTATGTTTCTGAAACGAGTGGGTTATACAAGTCTAACATGTCTACAGCCCTTCAATAATGCCTACCCCTGGTTCGACTGATGATTTATTCCATCCAATCATTCTTGCCATGTCCATATAATCCATCCTAGGCTGGCATGCACTCATCTGCTACACAATTGTATCCACTGCAGCACTTCTCATTGTTCTCATCACTGCATCCAGACTCTGGGTAAACGAGACAACCTGTAGTAGCCTGTATATTTATCCCCTTAATCAGCCTCCGTCCGAGTTGCAGTCTTCCAGAAACCAAAATTGATATTACTTACCCGCTCATGAAGAGTCCCGTTCGTGTAGCACATGCCGGCGAGGCACTGCAGACCCTGACAACATTTGACACCACTGTCGCCGCAGCCGGTTCCACCGCCTACGAGGCAGTCGGCAGTCTTAGCCGAGAACACACAATCAGCATCAAGCCGGAACTAAAATCAATCCCCTAGGTAGTTTTGATAAAGAACTCACCTCATTACTAAAATGCTGAATATTTGGAGCGGCCGTCGAGATAGAGGCAAGGGCGAGGGCGTAGATGGTGAAGAGCTTCATTTTGAGGATGAATGCTAAGTATACTTGGAAGTGTGATTTCTTGAGGACGTGAAAACCTAAGGCCTTCTCTGATATTGTCATATACGAAATGCCTCTGTGATGCTTGACCTGATTTAAACCGAGCTTGCTACCTCTTTATATACTACATGACTGCGGGATTTGATGCCTACCTTGCTTAGTCTTACATAGGTCTAAATCTAATATCGCCATATGCTGCTGCTTCTAGGCTACCCACAGCAATCGGCTTCACAACC